TCATTGTTGTTTGGCGGGTCCGGGCTGGGGATTCCAACCCGCCACCTTAGGTGTATGTGGCTGGCGCCTTACCCGGTTGAGCTATAGGCGCCGAGCCAACATGCTGGCTTTTTTGTGGCATGTACCCGCAGCCACAGAACGTGCTGCCCACCAGGAGGCTTAATTATCCTGCTGGTCTACCATACCCATCCAATTTCCTGTCACTGCTGCCACTGCCCTTAGTTAACTTACTATATGATGAGTTTTACACGGCCTCTTTACATCCCCTGGCCTCTTTACATCCCTGATTTGAGGAGATCTTGTTTTTTACTCTTTCTTAACCTCCTGTCTCAATGGGCTTACCATCTCCCCATTTTTTTTTTTTTTTGAGATATTCTCTTTGTCACCTTTGGTAGAGTGTCACCCTGGGCATCATCATTCATAGCAACCTCAAACCTTTGGGCTCAAACAATTCTCTTGTCTCAGCCTCAGCTGGGACTACAGGTGCCCACCATAACACCCAGCTTTTTGGAGACAGGGTCTCACTCTAGCTAATGCTGGTCTCGAACTCCTGAGCTCAGGCAATCCACCTGCCTCAGCCTCCTAGAGTGCTGGGATTACAGGCGTGAACCACTGCACCAAGCCATCTCCACAATCTTGATCAGACATCCAGTCCCCTGATCACCTTTCTGATGGCCGCTTCGGGCCCCTAGGCTGGAGGTTTGGTCTCAGCAGGACCTCCGCCCCTTGCCTCTTTCCTCCCGTGGCGTATCATCACGGTATATTCTTGTCCTTCTTGGGCAAACCCAACTTCTGTTGGGCCCAGATCTACATTTATTCTTCCCTAGAGTCCCTGGAGTTTGAGTTACCAAGAGAAGTTGGAGAGAAGGATGCAGGTCTAGAGCAGGGGTCCCCAAACTTTTTAAATAGGGGGCCAGTTCACTGTCCCTCAGACCATTGGAGGGCCAGACTGCAGGCCCTGGGACAAGTCAGCTGTTAAGCAGGACAGGCAGCGGCAGCAAAAACACCCAGCAGGCCAGATAAATGTCCTAGGTGGGCCGCACGTGGCTCATGGGTCGTAGTTTGAGGATGCCTGGTCTAGAGACAAGTAGCCATGGGCTTCCTGGCCATCTGACTGACACCTGTCTAGTTGATTGTTCTTTCCTGTCATAGCTGCAAGTGACCCTTGTACCTATGTACCTACCGATGGGGTTCCTACAGCTGCCTTTTCCCTTCTGTGCTAGGTCATGCCCATCAGCACTGACCTCTGCCTCCTACTATAGAAGGCATTCTCCATGCCAGGGATACCATAAGGGAGGCCTGTGACAGTGGGAGCTGCAGGAGGCTGCCTTGGAGTTGGTGGGGCAGGGAGTGTCCTGCCTTCAAACAATCGTGAATCTAATCGTTGTGCTCCTGCCACTCTGGCTTGAGCCACTGCTGAGTCTGAACTGGTTTCTTCACTTTCACTTGTATGCCTGATTTTTCATGTGATAGAGTCATATTACAGACAAAACCCTTGAGGGTTTCCCACTGGTTGCGCCTGTCAGGATCCTGTCTCCTCCTCCCTGACCATACAGCCACATAGCCAGACACCATTCCCGGCCTCCCTGAAGTTGGTATGGCCTCTGCTCTTCAGGCCTTTGGCTTGTCAGAGTGATTCAGGAGACTTCTAGACCCCCAGCAGCAGACAGGCAGCTTTGGCTCTTATCTCTTCCTGGGATCTGGGCCCACAAGTGCATGTACCCAACCTCCATGGTAAGGACAGATGCTGCCTGCCCCAGGGGAAAGCACCATAACAAGACTGGAAGGCACCAGGGCCCTTAGGTGACAGCGGGGGAACAGCGCCACCCTCCTGCCTACAGGTTTCCAGGTGAACAACAGCATAAAGCCTCTGTAGGTGGGGTGCAGGCGGCGCAGCCCTGGAGGCCTTCCTGCAATACTCAGAGCTCATGAGGCCCTGCTCGCTTCAGCCCCAGCCCCCTGCCTTCTCCTCCAGCTCTTGCCTGTTTCTTTTTGGCTCTATAGGCACCGGGACGCCCTGTCAGCTTTGCTTCTCCATCCTTTGCCCTGCTTTGGAGCACTTGGCACTGCCTAAGACCATGCTGTCTGTGTGACCCCCTGACGGGGGCACCACCTGGTTCACTGTTTGAATAATCCCAAAGCGAGGGACCAAACACATGTCAGAGAGCTGACGTGGGGCAGGTCTGGGGGCTTGCTCGGATGGGGAGATTTTACTCTCCTGTGAGATGTCCTCGACATCTTTACCCACCCTGCCCTAATGCAGGGGGAGGGTGCCAGTTACGAAAGCTACCCAGCACAGGCAGCTGGGCCGGGGGCTCTTACCTGCACAGGTATATTTCTAGAGGCATCTGGGTGCTGGGAATAAAGATGCAGGGAGCTACGCGGAACACCACCGTGTCTTTGTACACCGGGGTCTCTGGGATTGACTGCAGTGAGAGAAAGGTCCTCTCAGCAGCCTGCCTTCCACATCCATGCCCTCCCCTCACCCAGGTCCCCATCTGCCTTCTTCAGCTTCCTCCCCCACTCTTAGTTCTGCCTACCAAGCCTCGCGTTCCCCTGTCCTCTACCCTAGCGTGGGGCATGCTCCTTCCACCAGAGCATCCTCGTCCAAGGACTCTGTCTAGTTGGGGGACATACCAGGTCTTGAGACTCTTCCACCAGTGAGGCTGAGTAGGAGATCAGGCCCGAGAAGCTGGCGGACGGGAACTCAGTGGCTTCCACATAGAAGGTCTCCTTCAAGTTGTTCCCCAAGAGAGCCAAGGTATAGGTGTGCTGGCCAGGCCCCAGCACCATGTCAAAGGTACCAGAGCCATCCTCTGGAAGAGAGAGAAGGGACAGACCAGTTACTGAAGTAGATTGGGATCAGTCACCACATTTGATGGTCAAGGCACCAGCCCATTCTTCACGTCAGAAGCTGGGCTACGGTTCCAGGACAGGAGCTGAGCTAGGATGGTTTCTCTCTCCCTGCATTGTTGTCTTTTGTTTTTGGAGATGGGGTCTTGCTCTGCTGCCCAGGCTGGAGCAGTGGTTCTCAACCTTCCTAATGCTGCCACCCTTTAATACAGTTCCTGTGGGTCACGACCCACAGGTTGAGAACTGCTAGGCTAGAGTGTAGCATTATTATAGCTCACTGCAACCTCGAATTCCTGGGTTCAAGCAATCTTCCTGCTTCAGCCTCCTGAGTAGTTGAGACTACAGGCATACAACCACCATGCCAGGATAATTTTCTTTTGTGTGAAACGGTCATCGTTTCCCCAAGTAGGAGAAACCAGATGAGGTCATCTTCTACCAGGACTCCCACAATACCCCAGCACAGACATAGCCCCCAAGCTGATAGAGTCAGCTAGCCTACTGTGGAGTGCCCACCACCCAGCCTGAGAGCCACCATAAGCCCAGGGCCTTCTGTTCTGGGGACCTGGACTCCCTGCAGCTCTTCTACCTAAGGGTAATTCACCACTGGGCAGTGTGGGTCAACAGTCCACTCGTCCTAAGCCCCTTCCTGCTATTGACCCTCTGGGGCTTTCTCTTGGCCAATTGTTCTTTAAGAGCAGAGCTGACCCTTTGTTGTAGACTTAGCATAGGCCAGGAACTGTGATGGGTCTTCAGGGACTTCTTACATCCTCACAACCCTTTAAGGCAGGTTCTCATTGATCCTCATTAAACAGATGGGGCCAGGCCAGAAGCCCTGACCCCGGAATGACAGTCACCTCTGCCTAGAAGGCCTTACTGCTCTCAGCCCTGCCCTGCTAGGGCTCAGGTCTTAGCTAATCTTCAACTCTTCTGCCCACTCTGGACCCTAGAGGGCTGCACCGAGCCCCGGCGTGGTCCTTGGCTGTCCACCTGCCCCAGGAGGCTCTGAGAAGAGATTTATCCTTCCAGAGCCTTCCTGGGGGCATAGTAAATACTGAGGATTTGAGCTGAGTGCTTTTCTTACCCGCCATGTACCATCAGGCATGGTGGGGGAGGGGGGTACCTTCTTTGTAATCATCAGCACTTCTAGGCCATTTCTTCTCATGCCTCGGGAGTGCTAGTTCCTTTGGGAGACATGCTGTCAAGCAGTGCCACCTGCCCCCTTCTTCGTTACAAATAACCGCCAGCCTCCTGGTCCTTCACGGAGGTTCTAGCCCTAGCTCATCTCCACCACTGTCATCACTGGTATCTGACCAGTCTGACTCCTTAGACCAGACAGTGCCATCTTTCTTCTTTGACATGTTACTAAACTTGACTTCTGCACCAATTAGATGCCTATTGCAGTGGTCATGGCCCAGACTCGATGCCACCTCCAGGAAATTCTTCCACTTTTTTTTTTTTTTCTTAGCTCACCTACGCTCTCCCCACCTCAGTCTCTAGCCCCAGATCTCTTTACTGCCACTCCCACCCATTACTTCCTTTTTACCCTTCTCGGGTCCCAAGTTGTCACCAGACCTCCTCCCCTGAACATGCTGTCCACGCCCACATCTTTTTGGTTTACTTGCCTGGAAAAACTTCAACCCTGATTAAACCGACTCTTTTCCCAGGCACCCTTGTACTTAAGCCACCACGATGAAAGGCCCGTCTGGCTGTGACCAAACTTCAAAACAAGACTTCGCCACCCACCACTCAGGAATTCCCTCTTGTCTGACTCACATTAGTATTCTGAGTATTACGTATTCCTAAAATTCTCTTCCTCTGGATCCATTTCCCCGTTGGTGGGGCCAGTCTTATTTGCATACAGATGTGCTTATATTCTACCATTTCCAGATGTGCCCCCAACTCCATGCCAGGCCCCCCCACCCCCAATATTACCACCATTTGTCTCTAAGGCAGATTCCTGCCATGGTCTATGTTCATCCCTGTGCCTGCCCATTCCAACCTGGTTTTGGTCCATTCTTACCAGGGTCACTGTCATTCTGAAGACCATGATTTCATGGGCTTTGGCATCTTGGTCTATCAGCAGCATTTGCCTTGGTTGGTCACTGCCTTCTTGAAAGGCTTTGTTGGCAGAACTTACCCTCTGGCTTCGAGAGTCTTACTCTGTCACCCTAGCTAGAATGTCATGGTATCATAGCTCACAACCTCCAACTCTTGGGCTCAAGCAGTTCTCTCGCCTCAGCCTCCTGAGTAGCTGGGACTACAGGTGCCCACCATGATGCTTGGTTTATTTTAGTAGAGATGGGGGTCACTTTCTCAGGCTGGTCTCGAACTCCTGAGCTCAGGCAATTCACCTGCCTTGACCTCCTAGAGTGCTAGGATTACAGACGGGAACCACTCTGCGCAGCCCACTTTGGCTTTCTGCCTAGCAATGTCTTCAGATTAATGAGCGGTTTTCAAGCTTTAGCATCTCAGAATCACCTGGAAGGCTTGTTAAGACAGCGTGTTGTGTCACCCTGTCCAAGATTCTTAAGTTTAATAAGGAGAAACAGGCAGTTTACTATAACCCACAGGGCGAAATACAGCATCCTAACCAGGCTACACCAACTCCTGGCTTCCTGGGTGGACTCCCAAGGCTCACTTGCCCTCCCAGCCTACTGCAGTGTTGTCCATACTTAGACTCAGGGGCCAGTGTAGCCCTTGTGGCCGGAACCAGGCTGGGAGCTATGGGTTTCTTTTTTTTTTTTTTTTTTTTTTTTTTTGAGACAGAGCCTCAAGCTGTCCCCCTGGGTAGAGTGCCGTGGCATTACAGCTCACAGCAACCTCCAACTCCTGGGCTCAAGCGAGTCTCCTGCCTCCGCCTCCCAAGTAGCTGGGAACACAGGCGCCCGCCACAACGCCCGGCTATTTTTTGGTTGCAGCCATCTTTGTTGTTTGGCGGGTCCGGGCTGGGGATTCGAACCCGCCACCTTAGGTGTACGTGGCTGGCGCCTTAGCCGGTTGAGCTATAGGTGCCGGGCCGAGCTATGGGTTTCTAAGGATCACTCCTAGCCTACATGTAAAGGGGCTACATCCAACCTGGGCTACCCTTTCTGGTTAATCCCAAGTTACTGTGACTTAGAGTCTGCAGGAAGGATGGAGCAAGGACTCTGCTCAGGCCCTGAGCACAGAGAGGAAGCCTTAGAGGCATGCTCTCAGGGCTGGTGACAGAAGGCCCTCCCTGAGAAGGCACATTGTAGACCACAGGGCTCCCCAGCTGTGGCTAAACGTGGCTTTTAAAGGGTAGCAGTATATCCTTCCAGAAGCAAAGAGTTAGGCCTCAATTTGAGAAATTTAGAGGCAGTGAGTACTAAGCCAGTTAAGGCTTGGTCAAGGACATTTTGCTGGAGTTAGACACAATTACCTTCCAAGTCAGCCACCTTCTGGGCCTTCATCTACAACAGCGAATTCCCTCTGCTTCCCAGATGAATTCTGACAAGACTTACTGGGAGATGTTATCTCATCAGCACGAGGCCATAGCTCCCATTTTAGCCAATATTTGGTTTTTTTGTTCCAGTGGTGAGAACCCTGCAGGGTGGGCACTGCCCCCCATCTCGCAAGTGGGGAGCATGGCTTGGAGGTACACTAGCTTGCCCACGAATGTAGACTCAGTCTATGGTGAAGGAGGCAGCTAGAGAACCCCAGGGATGCAGATCTAGCTGCAATCTGTTCTGGATCTCTGGGCTTCCAGGAGGCCCTGCTGAGACTCCGCGAGGGTACAACTCACCCTAGCACCTGGAGAGCAGACAGAGTTGGAGCTGGCACAAGAACACTCACTGTGGGGCCAGTAGACTCTTGCCTTCTTTGACTCTTCCTCGGAAGTGTGGAGGACCAGCTGGTATCTCCTTAACAGGGAGCTGGGGCCTTGGATAGTCACTGTCATCAGGGACAGATTCTTCATTTCTGGGAAAAAGACAAGGCGAGAGTTCAGCGGCTTCTAGAGGCCAGAACTCCAGGGATGGAGGGAAGAGCAGCAGGGCAGGGTTCCAGGGGAAGGGGGTGCTTACACAAAGGAACACTGAGGATTCTCTGCCTGCTGCTCTGGCCAGGCTACATCGTTTCCTGCTGTCTATTCTCCATGTGACCACAGACAAGTCGCCAACCCCAGGGCCCACTTGTTTTGTTTCTGAGACAGGGAGGGTCTCATTCTATCACCCAGGCTGGAATGTTGTGGAGCAATCACATCTCCCTGCAACCTCCAACTCTGGCAGTCAAGTGAGCCTCAAGCCTCAGCCTCCTGAGTAGCTGGGACTACAGTTTTACACCAATATGCCCTGCCAGCTTTTGGAGGGTGGGGCAAAGATGGGGTCTTGCTATGTTGTCCAGACTGGAGGGCCCTTTTTGAGTCAGGATGGCATTTACCCATGTCTCTGCCCCCACAGAAGGGCCTGGCTCAGTCATTTTTACAGGGGTCAGATATCTCACAGAAATGTGCCCTTGACTGCAAACTAATGCCCCCCCGCCCCCAGCCTTGGAAGCTATTCCACTGCTGATCAGTAGAACCCTGGGCCAAAGACAGGGAGGACCAGAACCAAGACTGCTTCTTCCTAAGATAGCCAAGGTTAGAAAGCAGCTTGTGTACCCATTTAGCCTTTCCAACCACCTTGAAAAGCCAACTGTGTCATCCTTATTTTACGGATAGCAAGACGAGCACATAAACTTTGCTGATCTTAAGTCACCAGCCAGGAAGTGGCCGTTTATGACAGACAGCTCATGTGGCCTAGCTATGCAGCTCCAAGCCAGGATAAGAGATTTAATCTGCCGCAGGGTAGGGGGTAAGGATCGGAAATCAGCCTGGAATCATCTCAGCTGAGATCTCGGGCAGTACAGGCATAGCCTGAGGGGCGTGGGGTCAGCCTGGGGTCTCACCTTCAGGGAAGAACACCTTCTTGGTCTTGTTCTCCAGTTGACCTATTTCAGCAGGACTGCAGTTCACAAGCAGGATGGCCCCGCAGCCATTGGGACCCCAAATCCATTTTTTCTGCAAGTGACATAGGAAAATCGGCTCAGGGAGATAGCAATAAACCCTTATCACCCAGGTGTGACCGGCATGACAGGGGACAGAGCCAGTCCTTTCTACAGGTCAATAGTGACCTCAGGAACAAAATTCGAGGTCAAAGGCCTATAAGAACAGACAGGTAACATCAGGCGAATGGGCTGAGAGGAAGGGAAGAATCTAAATTCGGGTTACTAGTTGCCTACTTCATTCCAGCATAGAGGGGAAGTGGGGATAGAGGCAGACGGGAAGAGACGTCCCACCTGGAGGTGGCAGCTAACTCTTCACTCTGGGTGACTACACAACCAGTCTAGCAGGTGATCTTAGGGTCACCAGATGTCCTAATCTTTTAAATAAGTTAGGAGTTGTCAGTTCTGGACTTGCACCAATTTGACCAAAGAGACACCGTGAGGGTCAAGTACAGCAAGTCTCCAGGCCAGGTCTGCCTCATGGCCTCCATTCTGCCCTCACCTTTGACTTTCTGTCCTCTGGCGTCACAATTTGCCCGTTGCGGTAGATGTCCACCTCCAGGGAGACCGCTGAAACACAGGAAGGGCATCTCAGCCACCTAGACAGAGCCTAGGAGCTGCAGGTGACCCCCTTGGGACTGCAGGAGGCTGTCGTCAGGCCACTGGCCTCTCCAGCTTGCTGTACGAGAAGAGGGCAGCATCCTTGCAGGTGGCCACTTCTCTCATGAGCAAGTCTGGAGAGGCCTGAATATTCACACATCTATCCCAAACCTCCCAGGCATTCACTGTGGTTGTGGTGCCATCTTACGACTCTCAGCCTTTACCCAGGTGATTCCAGTTTGGAAAGTCTACCTTCCTAGCCTTCTAGAAAGTTCTTGCCCCTCCAAGATGGAGGAAAGGCTCTATGTCTAAGTTCCAAGTTCCTTTAGAGCAGAAGAATCAATTCTTCTGCCCAAGTATCATCACAGAGGCCCCCTCTTGCCTTGGCATGTGCCTCCCATCCCTTCTGTCACATATCAGATGACCATGTGACTTTATCATGAGCTTCGGTTCATAGCTCTTAACATCCTATTTCCCACCTGGAACATCAGAGCCATAAGCACAGACCTCGTTTATTCCTGCATCCTCAGCATCTACACACAGATGGCCTGCTGTGACCCAGGCTATTCCGGTACCCAAAGATGTAGCAGTGGGCAGGACAGAAGCCTTCTCTCATTGGGGGCAGGGAGAGGGGAAACAGATATTCCTCACATCCTAGGGCAATAAGAATGTGGGGGAACAGGGAAAGGATGAAGCTGGGGTGTATTGGATAATCCAGGAGGTCTAAGTTGAAATTTGAAAAGATATCTGAAGGAGGCAAGAAAGTAATTGTGCTAACATCTGGGGTAAGAGCCACTAAGGGAGAGAGAAAGTACAGGTGGAAAATTCGAGGGTCAGAGTAGCCGACAGTGCCCAGAGCAGAGGAAGTGAGGGAGGAAAGAGTCACAGGTCACAACATTAGAGGCAGGTAGGATATAGGTTTTGTGGGCAACAGGGACTTGGGTTTAATCCAAGCCATACCAAAGGCTTTGGACTGAGGAGACATTATCTAAGATCCTATTCAAGATGGATGTGCCACTCTGGCTGCCACATTGAGACCAGCCCTAGAGAAGGGCAAAGGTGGACCCAACAAATCCCACTGGGAACTAGGGCTGTGACCCAGGCAGGAGAGGATGGGGGCTCAGACCAGAGGGAGTGCATTGGGAAGGGTGAGTTCCCAGATTGTAGCTGAACTTCACATAACACCCTCAAGATTCACAGATTATGTGGGGTAAGAATCAGGTGGTATCAAGGTAACCGGCCCTAACAGCTAGAAGATGGAGCTACCCCCCATTGTGACAGGGAGACACTAGAAAGGAGTTGGGGGTAGAGAAAACATTAGCTTGATTTGGGATCTATTAAGTGCAAGATGTTCCTTAGAGGCTCAGGAGATTAGGTTGAGTAGACAATACCCAAGGTCAAATTCATGGGAGATGCCCAGCTGGAGACAGTCTGGGGAGTAGTCTGCCTGGAGGGTGACACTAGAACCACACAGCTGGTTTCCTGAGCCCTGAGACACCTCAACGACCAGCTTGGGAGACAAAAGATTCGGCAAAGGGCTCTGAGAAGAAACAGGTGTTGGTGGGGGGAGGTGAGTGTAGCATCCCTACGGTATTTAGCAAAATGCATCCGGGAAAGATAACTGGTTCTATCAGATATTTCAGTAGGTTAGGGAGAGAAGGGATAGATAGCCAGACCTAGTAAAGACGTTAGAGCCTTCAGCAAGAGCTCTGCTGGTGGTAGGGATCTGATCCGAGCTCATCTGAGGGGAAGGGAGGAGAGATTGAGGACGTAAAGATGGCTCCCAAGTAAAGAGTTGGGGCTCCCAAGTAACACAGAATCAGGTTAGAGATACCGCAGCTTGTTCCTGGGCTGACAGGAATGATCAGGAAGGGGAGAGGTGGTAGCATCTTCTCCTAGTAAGAATCACTAAGGGAACGACTTGAATGAGAGGGGAGTGGTCCCCTCCCCTCTCAATGTGTGGTCCATTGTAACAGAGGCAGAAGGTAAGGACCAGACAGGAATGGGTGGGTAGGTGATGGTAACATGCGGAAGTTCTGGTTGCTTCTCTTCTCAGAAAGTCAGGCTGGCAGTACATGAAAGGGGTAGGCAGGAGAAGTGATTGAGCTTCAGGAAGGGAAGAGTGAGTGGGTACCTTGGGTGAATCCACTTAGGAGTTCATTCCAGAATCCCCTGGGGCCCCTAGGAAGCATCTTATTGCAGTGAAAGAAACCCTTTTGAGTTTCTGTAATAACCACCCCATTCCACCCCCAAAGATAGGCTAGGAGCAGCACTCACCAATGCCAGTGAGGTAGAGCACAGCTGTGCCCAGGGTGTTCTCATGGGGCCCGTAGTATGTGACCAGGACCTGTGGAGACAGCATCCAGACCCATAGGAATGTTAGAGGGCAGAGGTCAGGGGCACAGCCTGGGCCACATGCTGAGTCCAGGTGTGTCCCTTTGGTCTCCTGTCACAGCTTTGAGCTCCCCAGGTCTTGGTGTGAGCTGATACAGGGTCTTGGTGTCAGCTGATACACTTAGGCCAGAGTCAGTCCTCTGAGCATTTATAACCTGCCATCACACTTCCAACCCTTCTACCTCAGGCTAAACAACCCACACAGGTGGGATCTACACCCTCAGAGGCACAGGGATCACTTTACTGTTTTGGCAGAGGAATAGCACAGCATTTCAGCATCTAAGCTATAAACCAGTTTATATGCCCACGCTGGTGCACCTGCTCTCCTGGGGTCTCTGCCCATTGCTCTAGGAGGTGGGCAGTGGGAAACAGGTCCTCTGATGGCTTAAGCTGCTTACTAAGGACACCCAGGCTGGTGAGAGTGGGAACTCAGCCTTTCCTGTGTCCTGAATAAGCTTCTGTTTCCAAAGGGGTCTCTATACTCTAAACAGACCTGCTCTTCAGCCATGGAGCTCACCATGAGGTTTGTCATGAACTAAACAGAGACCCAACCATTAGCTAGATGATGTTTATGTGTGTGATCTATTACCTCTTCCTAAATGGAGGCTTTAGCCCTCCAAGGTCAAGTATCTCACTGTTGGCCGCTCTTGAGGGTACTAGAGGCTGAGCCCAGGGCAGAGAATAGTCCTCAGTTCTTATGAGATATTTGGTTCTCAGCTGTCTCTTTTTTTTTTTTTTGAGACAGAGCCTCAAG